GTAATTTAGTAAATCACCACCAGAGTTCGCAAATATTACAATTGACGCCTTCTATGAGTAGCAAATTGAAAGAATTTTCCTCAATTTCCTACCTTGATGAGCTAAAAAAAAGGTCTTCACTTTTTGAATAAAAAATCTTAGCAAATTCGAATAAATTTCGCGAAAAAAAATTCTCATCCAAATCACAGGGGGGAGGTAAATATTGATGTATTACAGAGTTGTCAAACAATTTGCCAAGAATGAAGAACGAATTATAAATGATGGGAAAATTACAACGTGACATAAATTTAAAAAAACATTCATAGGATCTAATCGATTAGTATCATGATCAAATGTTAAAATTTACGCCTAAAAAATATTTATTTACATACCAGTCCTCAGATGTTATGAAATAGTTAACCGGTTAATTAAGATGACTTTAGATAAATACAAAAAGGGTCATTGTTCTTGTGACCGGTTGCAAATCTGACCATTTTTCATTGACAAAGAACCTAATTCATCTCCGAAATCATCGGATGAGGGGTTTCTGGTTGGCCAATCAACAAAAGGGACGAAATTGTTTTACGAGGGCATGTTTTGTATACACAATCATGTTGGATGCTTTGTTAGTTTTGGATAAGAAAAATGTTCAAAAAGATTTCGTATATGAGAGGGGGGAAAGTAAGTTGTTTAGATTTAATAGTTGGTTTTTTGAACCTTGCGCCACTTGAAAAGGCCCATTTGTTTTCAGAGCAAACAAATAAAATCCTTAAATTTATTTATATTCTCACCGAACGATTTACTATTTGCACAACAAAATATTTACATATGCCAAACACGGTATAAAATTTGAACGGAAACTTATTTCCGGCAGTTTGTCACGTGTCAAATACCAAAATCACATGAAATCCACCGAATCCACATGAAGAAGAAGAATAAAAATAGACGACATTCACTAGAATGATGAACTTTTTATGGCATGTTTATTAGAAATAATATGTGCAAATAAAATCCAAAAAGCATTTAGCATTCACATCATTTATAAAATGTAAGCAAAACGATTGGATAAGTTTAACAAGCGTTATTGATTTGGCATATTATATGCACACAGTTTGCAAACAGATAGACAAACAAATCAGTTACGTATTGATATTAGCATCCATTGATCGCATTCGCATTCATATTGTATGTGAATAAAATTGACTTATTCCAACGAAACGAACGAAATAGAAATGAAGAAAGAGAGCAACACATTTCATTGCGGAATTGTGTCATATCCAACGGCATTGTATAAGATAAATAAGAAATAATATATGACACGTGAAAACATTTCTATATGTGTACAGAAGCGAGATTTTATCGAATTTTTTTTCAGCTAGTTTTAAGCACATTCACAATTGAGTGCGTCGGTTGATTTAAATTGAAAAATTGTGTATGTGTGTGCCAACACGGTGGCTGGTTTCCGTGTAGTTAAAACATGGAAAACCACACGTACTCGGTTCTACAGGGACATTTTTTGAATTTGATTTTGTCCCTGACAAACGACCAACGCTTTTCATATGCAAAACAAAATTCATTACTATCATTCGCTCACTCTCCAAAGATAGTAAATTGAATTCAAAAACTAAACCCATCGCTTGTTTATGCGAGAGGCGCGCAACATCTCGATCTTGAACCGTGTACGGCTTGGTGTAAATATCTGTTGGGTCCCACTATATCTCAGACACACACGATATATCACATCAAACTGTGTTACAACCATGAATAGATTATAAAAGCTATACAACTCGAAATGGAGCGAGTTAGAGAGAATGAGTGGCAACCACCAACAACGATAGTCGTCCCGGCATCGGCATAAAGTGTTTGTATATATGCGTGTGTGTGTTTATGTGTATATAATATTTATATTTTCTACGGTTTTTCATTAAAATGGATACAGTTGACAGAAAAATGTATATCAGATAACCTTTTTAAGCCACTCTGTTACCCTTTGCTTGTACATTTTCCCTTACAATCAAGTTTGTTTTCGTTTGCATTCACCAACTATATCACCGAATACAACCTTACACAATAACACAGATGAATGTGATTTCTGTTAAGACACAGAATGAAAGATACTGCGACTGAATTATTTTGTGGTTGTTATTTTTACTCTTTTTACTCCCTTCTTTATATGATTTTTCATATTCTTGGCCCTGAATATTCGAAAACATTTTAACCTTCGCCGTAGAAGGCCCTTTTACAAAAATCTATTCCGTAAAACACAGAGTAACAGTGAATAGATTGAGCTACAGCTATAGAAGTGCTATTTTCATAGCTCCTATTCATAGGTGCTATTTGTGAACAACGCATACGGACAGCGACTTTATGATACAATTCCAAACGAAATGTATAAAATGTAAATAGAACAATAGACTTATTGATTTTAGTTTTTTTTTGCATAAACAAATCAATAGGTCTATTGTCCGAAATTGTATAATAAAATCGTTGTCCGTAAGCGTTGTGGCAGTAGCACTGCTATAGCTGTAGCCCAATCTATTCACTGGTAACTTACACAGATACAAAAAGTAAGTATAATAAAGCAGCTACCAGAAATCGCGAAAGCTTGACACAATATTTGATGGGTTCCAACAGTTTTGGCACTTTTTGAAAATGGTTAGTATTAGGAACAATTCAAAAAGGTGTGTCAGTTTTAAAATTTACCAAAAATGTATAATGACGTTTTTTTGATTTAAAAATGCATAACTGACCAAAATATGGTGTCAAAAAATGTCATCGAATAATAAAAAAATACATACAAAAATTCGTATCGAATTGTGCACTCATTTTCAAAGAGTTCGAGAACTTTTGGAACAAACCACGTATATACGATTACATTAAATAAAATGGATGTAAAGTTATAAAGTGGCTTGTGTAAGTTCCGCTTGAACTTTTAAGTTAAGACCATTTCTTTTCCGTTTCTTTTTCTCTTTACTCTTTCTCTCCCTCTCACTGAGCTATCGTTCGTCGTTGTATTTTCTTTTCATTTTCGATAGACAAACGTACATACTATTAAGATCTTAGTATATGAGATTTTGAGTAGACACAAAGAAATGAACAATATGTGTGTTTTTGCCGAAGAAATGTGTAAAATCAAACAATCTCATCAAATGCAATCATATATCAATTCTAATATTCGTTTAAATTTCCGTAGCATCGGCCATGTGTCACTTTCTCCATCTCTCTGTCTCTCTGTCTCCTCTCCATTCATCTTTCAATATTTAATAAAATGCGATCGATGTGAAATTTCTCTTTCTTTCCACTCACACATTCGAGTATAATCGAGTGTATACAATTGCGACATGAAAACCATTTCCAATGAAAGTGATTCTTGACAAAAAAAAAGAGAGAGAAAACAAAAAATGGTCTCGTCACGGAAAAAAAATACAAAAGATCAAAGCCTGGACAACGCAATGCTATGAAACCATGAAATATGAACAAAGTTGATGATAATGTTTCAAACAAATCAGATTTGTGCCATTGTGTTTTACTAAAAGCAAAAAATATCCACAGTTTTCGTTTTTGTCATGCTCAATTTATCTTATGAATGGAAAGGCAAAATTCAAGTTTTCGAAACGACCGTCCAAACTGATGACCGGGTGCTGTACGCTCTTTCCAAACTTGACAAAGGATTATTTGGTTTTTGTGTGACTCTTTCATAAACTTTGGTAAGTTCACCTACAAGAAATTAAGTCGCAAATACGGACACAATAATATGGGGTAGCGCGTTAAACTGCGTCGAAAACAAAACACATATTTTAACCGGAACTTGAGTTGTGACAATATACTTTTCAAAAATCTTCATTGATTTTCTTCACATTGTTTATGTGGCTCGGTCATTCGGACGTGTTTATCATGGCAAAATGTGGCCAAAATAAACAACAACAACAATAAAAAAAGACGAGAGAATGAAAAAGGAATGGTAAAATATTTATATGGTTATTAATTTTATGTATTTTTGATGGTGTTTCTAGCGTTGGCCTTATCGCCTATTTCTGCTTTATGCATGAAATCAATAAAAGATGAAAGGATTTGGCTATTTAATTATATTTACTGTTGCTTACGTGAGTCGATTAGACAAACGTGTTTATATTTACTCAGGCAAGCGTGCACGCGTTATCGCTCGTTATATTGTTTCCAGCGACTCGGTTTCGATTTGAATGGGCTGTCGAATGTATTTTGCTCTGTGATATTTGATAAAATGGAATAGAATTTGTGTGTGTGTGTGTGTGTGTGTGTTCGATAGTATATAGCATGTTACAGATATCTTGATATTTCTGGCTTTTCTAGTAATGAATTTCATAATCTACGAGTCTTTCTGCAATCCGCTAATGAGTCTCAATATGATAAGAGCCGTGAAATTAGACTGACAACTAAATTTCGATTTCACGTGTCAACTACTTATTCGATTCAGGTCGAATATCACAAATGAATATATATTCTCATTTTTACTTTCTCCGCATTTGTCCTATTTCGACCGAGAAAAAGCGAGAAATATAAATACATAATATGCACACATGTTTACACAATAACCTAATCTAAACGGTCGTGAAAGAAAGCTCAAGGATTTTTGTTTCGCGCCGCAATACCAAAACCATAATATATTTCGTGCAAAAACAAAAATGTCTTATACATTTCGGTAGAAAAGTTGATCAAATATATGATACGTTTTTCACCATTTTTCGGCTATCTTTACAAGTGTGCCTTTTTCTATGGTGCGTACAGTTTCACAAAACATAATGCTGCTGAATGTACGAAAACTTAAATAAGAGAAATTCGAAATGTATTCAACAAAAACCAAAGCATATATAATACATACCATTTTATGGGAATGCTTCCAAACTATAACAGTCGCTTTTACAGTTGCACAAACCGTGAATTTATCCCAGCAAATTCATTCGAACACCAGCAACTCGATTTCTTCACTTCTGAAAAAAAGTAGAATGAGACACGAAAAGCAAAGTGAAAATAAGAATTTCGATTGGAACGCCAGTGTTAATTTGACTGTTACCAAATTGATTAAATGAAATGGTTTCAGATTCAGAAATAACTTAATTTTTTGTTTTTGATTGAGTCATTTTCTTGGCGAATTGATATTCTTATCTTGCAGAGAGAGAGAGAGAGAGAGAGAGAGATCTTGCAGAGAGAGAGAGAGAGAGAGAGAGAGAGAGACAGAGTAAGACGGAAAGTGAAATGAAAATACGGGTTGAATATTATATTTAAACACAACCGCGAAACAGAATGGAATTTTCTTCTAATAAAGAGCTTTCACCGAGCTCAGCATGATATCAAATCATTTCTAAATGGATTGAAGAAGGAACTGTCTTGTATATGTAGATACGTCTTTATATATGATCTAGTCGTATCGTGATTGTAATCAATAGAAAGTTTTGTGCTCAAGTATGCACGCAGTTGCATGAAATGCTTTCAAACGCAAAACTTAGCAAAAATGTCGAATAGTTTTATCATTTAATCACGCCCAATTAAATACTAATTACGATGAGCGAAGTGGTTCAAATATTAATTTACTATTTTATTGTACTTTCGACTTTTTGACATTTCGAATCGTCAACCATAAAGAGAAAGTGAGCTAAAATACGCACACAATTTGACCGAATACGCACATTTCTAGGGAGAGACAAACAATAGAATATGGTTAAGATTAGAGGGATATTTTATGCTTTTAGTCAAAAGCAACGATTTGCTGAAAATACAATTAAATATAGCTCAAAATCAGCACTTAAACCAGACACCCTGAAATAAAGATAACATTTTCTCAACATGGAAAACGTTTAATTAATTATTTAATATATCAACGAGCATTTCTTTTATTTCACTCAATTGAAAAGTTTGCGAAACAAAATGCCGAGAAACTTTTTACATTTGTAATTAATGTGCAAGCTGCGAAAATACGTATCCGTTTTGTGTGTGTATGCTTTCTTTTTTCGTTTGCAAATGGCTTTAATTTATGTCACAATTTATCTGTAATTGGTGGCGATCGTAATCGAAATTTAAAAACGATGTGCAATATTGAATATAATTAAGCGCATCAAACAGGAACGAATCTATTTTAATTTGAATCGGGTCATTAGTTAATTACTTTTGGTTTTTAAATAAATCACCTCATCATGCATGGGATAGATAATAATTCTAATTTAAATTAAATTGTTTTGAGATAACTAATTTGATCATCTCCTGTTTTGTAGTTTGTAACATGAGCAAAAATTGAAATCACCACCGTTTATGGTTCTATGTATGAGCGACGTGAATTGCAGTAGATAAGTGAAGCAGGCAGATAGAGGAAACGACACACGCAGCTACAGGTGGTCGAATTTTAAATGAAGCTTAATTCATTGGTTGCATGACAAGGGAATACAACACAACAAAAAAAAAACTTTGTGCAAAGTTTCAAAAGATACTAGAGATACTAGAGTTTCACTAGAGTTGCAGTGATTATGAAGTAGAGAATGAGCTCTCACGAATGGTAATATGTATAGTATGTGCGCGTATATTTTCAAGCCAAACTTGTACCATCGTCGTTTCGTGCAAACGAATGACATTTCAACAATACCATGAAATGTGATAAATTTGTTGAAATATTTACTGTGTTGTATATATCAGCACCTGTTTTTGTGCCACAAAACTATCTATTATCTGAAATCTATATAACTACAGCCAAAATAATTTATGAGGAAAAATCGCATAAAACGGCGATTCGATGCGTTGTTTTGCGCAACATTTCAAACAATGTGTATTTGTTTGATGTGGCTCTGGCTCTGGCTACAATGCAACCGAATTGAATGAAACCGTCATTGCCCTGATTCCGTCGTCGACCATATCCTGTACACCTTTAAATCACACTCTACTCTATTCACATACACACAAACGCTATCCATCTCATTCTCAGCCGCTTTCATTTCAAGCTTGATTTCGAGTCCATGGATATCGAGTGGTTCATTACAAATGTTTGAACAGATGCAATTGCATCTCACACGATACCACATTTTCGTTCATCTGGCACTTTTGCAAACTCAACCGCGATGGACAGAAAAAAAGAAGAAGAAAAAACACAGAGAACTGAATGACCAAATGGAGTGAATGAGCGAACGATTGTGGTGTGATGTGACGCGCGACACAGCTCACAATGTCGAATTCTATGATGCAAATCTTTTCAGTGGCTGCCCTATTGAATTTAACCATTTTCGACAAGTAGTAGTTTCAATGTAATATACTGTTGCTGTGCGAGATCAATATTAATGATGTTGTCTGAAATGGTAACACGCATTATGCCTGCAAATTCGAGAGAAATAACGAAGCAGTAAAGTAAACAGCAGAGCAACATATATCAGCTTGTTTGACACATGCAATATATCACCGCGAATTCAACGTGTGAAAAGAACTATTTCTGTAGAATGTAGCGCATTTTGCCACTTTCTCTCCCTCCCTCTCTCTCGTTACAAACGATTTGTTATATATACTATGTTGTGGCGTGAAATGAACTAGAGATAGAGAGAGAGAAGAACAATAAACAATGAGTGAGTTGAGGTTTTTGCAATTTCACTGTACATTCGCAGATTTCCATACCATACACACAGAGACAAATTGGAATCCACCTGTTAAAATTGATTCACTCTATCGCAACCCCGCAATCTCTTTTTTTCTTCACATTTTTTTCGATTTCTGTCGAAAAAAATATTTTTTTTTTTTGTTTAAATCACTAAACATAAATACATGTTTCGATGCCATCGAGTGAGTTCATTCAAAAGAGAATCAATTGCTTTTCATGAACGTCACATTCAATATACTGTGTATTGACCAAATGTGTAAGTGTGTACATAAAGTGCTTTTATTCTGTACAAACATAGTTATTTCGCTTTTATTTGCAAACACCCCCTTGAACCAGTCACATTTGTTTGCATGAAGTGGTACCAAAAGAAAAAAAAATACTCACGATTCAAGAGGCAGACAAAAACTTGACGACGACTTGCTTTTCATTTGCTTCATTCAATATTGTTTGCTTCGTGTCTTTTGTTCATTTTCGCCCGAAACTTATCTTGCAGGGGATAAGTGCTCAAAATTCATGTCAGTGTGTGTGAACAGAAAATTATCTCGTATTTTCGAAGGGGGCTTAAAATTTTATGAAAACTTCATATAGCGCATTCCAACAGCCAAACGAGTGTGCTGTTGTCAGTGAAAATTTATCAATTTTTCTTCCTCTGTGTATCCGCTATTGCTTGTTGGCAAAGACAAACAGCAATTGCTCGGCACACTTTGATGAGCATGAGAAAACGATGAGATGGGGCGACACGCAACGCACACCAAACGGCCGTACCAAAAAGTGCGGCAAAAGCGTTACATTATTAATTTTTTAATATAAATTATGGCAGTATTGACATCATTTGTCTACGAATATACTGTCGTTGTCGTTGCAACGATAATCAACATCATGAGTTCATATCTTTCATCTTCTATTAATATTCATGATTTGTGAAATAAATTGGACTCTTGCCACGGATTTATTTGGCCATGCAATGGAATTCTTCATTCAGCGCACATTTTTCATGTTCTTTATGCTCACTTTTTTGGTTGGTTCAGTTAAAACGATTCGTGGGATTAATACGAATGCCGTCGAATACGAAATGAGATGCCACAATAATTCCACAATATAATGGAATACCATGCCATTTGTATGTATTTTCGTGAACGAACGCTGTTAATTTTAACCGGTAAACCACAATATACACGCTCCTTTCGATTGAGATAGAAAAATGAACTTATTTAAATGTTTTTAGCGTGTAAAGAAGAATCGCTCCAAATTCTCATTTATTACAAAATACAAGAGCTCACACTATTTTAAATATTTTATCATCAAATTATGCAACCAACAACGATATACTTCACCATTTAGTCAATTATTCACAATGTAATTTATTAAACCGAACATTTAATATTTAATTTTTTTTGCTACATTTGGTGAATTCTACTTGAATACTCATAGATGTTAAGCGCGCGGATCTTTTAGTGCTTCTTAATTGAACACTCGTACACACCTCATGTTCGACTGGTTAAATTTAACGAGTCCAACCCAGAAATTTGAACCGTAACAAGAACAACAAACTACACTTTACTTTAGAAAACTTCTCAAAAATCCATTGTCCATTTCAACATTGATGCAACGATTTTTTTTCGCATTCGTAACAATGTTTTGTCTAAATAAGCATTTTCACCGTGCGAATGATTGAGACTTGTACGTTTACTACATAAATTCAAGTTCATACATTCCGAATGGCATTTTGTCATTTAGTTGCTCCGTTGATGCGTTCGTAAAATTGTTGGCAAAACAATCGATGCTTGAAATTTAATGGATAAACATCATTTTCGCGTAGGTATATTTTTCGTCTCATCATTACATGGCTCATTTGAATGTTTCACTTGGCTCATTGTTGCGAGGTCAAATGAGCATCATTATCACGATGTGATGGTGATGATGAAATTGCACGCAGCGCAGGTTATGACTAAAAATTAAATGCTATACACAAGAGGTCAATTAAGTTTAACGATCTGAGCAAATGAATGATAGAGAGGACGAAATGAAAAAAAAAAATGCGACGCAAAAAACAGAAAGAAAGAAAACTGAGATTCCAGTAGCTATAAAAAGAAACAAGTGGAAAAAAGCAGAATGAGCGAATCGGTCGTTATTATACTCTTGAATCGGATTGGATTGCATATAGAATGAAAATCTTGTGCAAGTTTTTTTTCTTCGTCGAACACACTAAAAGCCCCCCAAGAATCAAAATATAACCAGAATGGCATTAAAGGCACTAAAAAAGAATCAAGAAAACGGACAAAATAGAACTATGAGCCAAAAGCTAAAAAGCCATTGTGCTACAGAGTTGTATTCGCTCAAAAAAAGAAGATAGACACAAAA